GGGGAATGAGTATTTTGCCAGGTTAGCAGGAAGAAGCACAGATGTGTTCATTGTACGAGTTGGACCTGGGAGGATTTTGGAGCTGCTGGTAGCCATTTGGCAGCATATAATGCCTAAGGAAAAATCCATGGCATGGCATATATTTGTTATTCTTTTTGGCCACTGAGCACCTTCGAACAACTTTCCTATGTTGATGAATTCCCCAATTTATGAGACCACCTTTGTCTGTAAAAGCTAGATTCTTACCTTTGAGTCTTTCTTACTCCAGTATATGTGTGTTCTAGAATTTGCTATCAAACTCACTCTTGTCAGACTTTTAATCAGAAGCCAATGAGGTAAATAAGGACTTTATTCTTGGGAGGCAGTAGCAGCTTTATCCCATTTCTAGAAGCCCCAATAGCTATTATTCTAGCAGGAGCATCCGGTGCCTGGAACCAGAGCTGCTGGGACAAGTTATACTGGCAATGGTATCTCCAGTGAGTTGGTTTTTAACTTGATTTGCAGTTGAGTTACTGGCTACGAGTTTCCAAATTTCATTCTCAAGTCTTTCCAAAGGTAGTGTGAGCTAGCTAAAATACTTTAGTAAATTCAGTTTTTTGCTTAAACTATCCATAGTTGGTTTCTGTTGTTTGCATTTAGGAACATTAAAGCAGAGAAGAGCAGATTCAGGAGATGGAAAGAGACCGGGTCCTAGGGATGTCATATGGGTTCTCAGATCCAGCCACACCTGAAGCCGGAACCCCTTGCTTCTTCATTTATATGAAGCGATGAATTCTCATTTTCTTCAAGCCAATTTGAATTGAATTTTTGAAGCTTGCCTTCAAATACAGATACTCCTCCACTTACAATGGGGTTGTATCTTGATACTGTAAGTAAAGTTCAACTTATGGTATTTTCCACTTAAATGGGTTTATCCAGAGGTAACCACATCGTAAGTTGAGGAGTGTACTGAAGGCATATGGATTTGGCATCATTGTAAAGTAGAAAAATCTAAGTCGAAATCTTACAAATTGGGGACCATCTATAATCTCAATTGTTGTCACCCTCGTCTTCTCTATTATGTCCTGTATATGATTTTTTAATGATTTTGACATAAAAGTTAAAATTAATAATATGCTTTTAAAAACCCATTTAATTCTCTCAGAGGCTATTTATTTCTGTGATCCAAGATTTTTTTTTTTAACAGGCCAGACATCTGTTTAATGTTTAACATCAGATGAAGCCAGAAAAGATTTGACAGTATTAATTTCATTTTTATCCTTGCAATATTTTTTTTGTTTTAGCTTTTTAAAACATCTAACGTACTTAATAGTGGAAAGTGAAATTAAATGTATGATTTTTCTAATTGATTTCTAAAATTTTATTAACTCATAACCAAGCTAGATACTAATTATTTATATTTAAGCATTAAACTTCACATGGTTGCATATACTTTTTGTAATAATCTGCCCACATTGTATTATAAAAATAGAAATTACACATTCACTCAAATGGATGTTTTCCTTCCAGTGGAAATGTTTCTAGAGTACATATTGTAATTTACTAAAATGTTTGACATCAAATTCCTTTTTCTGTCATTATAATTTCTGGCACATGCATTTCACATAAATTTTGGTCAAAGGATGTTTCTAGCACCCCTCCCACCCCAAAAGTTGTTGCTTCTCAATGTTTGTGAAACAAAATTATACACCTTTCTTTCTCAGAGCTGGGTCATATGGGCTAGTGAGTTTACTCATTGGCATGTGATTTGGACTTTCATCAAACCAACTAACCAAGATGAAACCAAGATGAAAATGTCAACTTATTTGAATGAACACATCTGTGTTACTTAAAAAAAAAAAGGCATGTTGGCGTAACATACACAAACACAATATTGGATTTATTTTTATTCTTTGGACTCAAAAATGTAGTTGATTCTTATCATTATAAAAGGAAAGATGAATATTTTTAAAAAGAGTGAAATTAAAGAAACATTCAAAAGGAAAAAAGTATCCAGAATATTACTATCAGACATAACCATTGTTATTTTGGAGTATTATCTTTAAATCTTCTAACTAGACATGTATTTTAATATTCCTTTTCATTTTTGAGATAATCATGTCCACATAGTTTTATATAATGCTTTTTAATTAATTTCATAATAAAATAGTTGTAAAGCATTAATTTTGCATCATCTGCAATTTGGATGAAATTATTCCATTGCATGACATTGTTACTTTGTTTGTGAATATGAGAATTTATAAAATTATGAAATTATAATTTTAATTTTATAATCATTATAGGTCTAGAATAAAGTCTTAGTTTTTATAATCTAATTATATGTTTGGCTGAAAATACATTATAATTTCACTTAATTTTCCAGATTACTATGAGAGGTATATAAAAATAGTAGCATTAACTTTATTCGTGGGTAAGGAGTTGGTGGGGCGTGGTGCCCATATGAGAGAATACACACTACACAGTCAAGAGACTTGAGTGTCTAAAGCCTGGCTCCCTTCAAAAGCAATGAACTCTGTGATCTTGGCCAAGTGACCCTGAATTTTAATTTGTGTAGTGGAAGGTTGGGGATGAAATTAGATCAGGGGTTCCCAAGCTGTTGTCTGTGAATCAGGGTTCATTTTAGACAAAGTTCTATCCAGTCTGTGATGAAAAGAGAAAACAAGTCAGTAAGTTTATCAGACAACAAAACTTATTTAAATATATTTTTCTCTCTCTTTCACCCCCTAAGGTTATAGCCTTTTCAGGAACCACTGCCTTAGATGATGATCCCTTTGGACTCTAAAATTCTGAAGCTATAAAGTAAGGTCTTAGGGACTCGAGAAGTAAAATATCAACCTAGTTAGAGGGTCAAAAAAACAAAAAATAAAAAGAAAACATAAAATATGTCATGAAGACGAGAAAGAAGTTATCCGTGTGTGTGTGTGTGTGTATGTGTGTGTTTAGCAATTTTGAATTTTTAATGTTACCTGGTGCTCTGTAAAGACAATAGAGGCAAGTTGACTTCCTGTTCTGCTGGTGAAACTTCAGCTTCAATTCCTGGCAGAAGTTAACATTTAACATGACTTTAGTTGGGCCTTCCAATTTTTCTCATGGTTAGAGGGAGATTATTTAAATCAGCTTCACTAGTCTCATTTTACATTTTAATCTGATAAAACAGGGTGACCAGAAAGCCAGATCTGATGGAAGGAGGAAGGGGACATTTGCTTTTCCTTCTCATTTCCATTAGCTTTATGTCCTTGTATCTGGAGAGCACATAACGCTAGGGAAATCTGGGTTTTCTTACACAGCTGGTTTTAAAATACTGCTTTGCAACTCACTATGTGTAAAAACCAATCAGTAGTGCATTGATAGATGGCTCTTTAGTGAGTTTGGAAGTGAAATTATAGCTGTGATGACACATTGGCAGGCAAATGGTGGGGTGTGTTTAAAGAGCTATATGCCCAGGGTTCAAATCAGGGCTCTGGTGGCTGCATTTGAGTAGATGAGTCATTCATCTGTCATGACCTCTGGAGTTATCCTCATTCACACAGGTTTCAGATTCATTCACGTAGACATGATATGTGTATGTCTTGAGGAGAATAATCAAGAGCTTTCCCTTTTATCATGAATTACAGAAAGGATTTATAAACCTTAAGTAGAATTTGAAATATTTTTCCAAACCAAAATAATATATTTACTTTTATCTACAACATTATGTTTTTGTAGTCTGCCAAATATTTCCCTCTAATTGCTTTTGTGCTGAATTCTTCACTTTGATTGATGTGATTCAATTCTATATGGAAGGCATAGCTCATCATTAAAGATCTGGAAATATACTGATAGAATATAATTGATTCTCATTGTAAAGTTTCACGTTTTATTTTCTCTTTCATTAGGAGTAACTTCTTACACAGCTTCTGCTTATGCAGATGCATAACATAAATAGTTTTCAATTTCCTAGTTTCTCTCATTTTAAATGTGGGCAACAGAAGATGTGAATTTAATTCTTTCTGGTCCCTCATTCTGTCCAGGGTTTCCATTCATGTGGTTGTTCATAAGCATTATAGGCACACATGGCTTCAGGGCATAAATGTATTCCCTACTCAGCAATAGAAATGATTTTTCTCTGAACTGGGACTGTGGAATCCATGACTCTGGTTAAATGATGTCTTTGTCTGAGTCTCCCTTTTTCTTTTTCTTTTTTTTGAGACAGAGTCTCGCTCTGTCGCCCAGGCTGGAGTGCAGTGGCCGGATCTCAGTTCACTGCAAGCTCCGCCTCCCGGGTTCACACCATTCTCCTGCCTCAGCCTCCCGAGTAGCTGGGACTACAGGCGCCCGTCAACTCGCCCGGCTAGTTTTTTGTATTTTTTCTAGTAGAGACGGGGTTTCACCTTGTTAGCCAGGATGGTCTCGATCTCCTGACCTCGTGATCTGCCCGTCTCAGCCTCCCAAAGTGCTGGGATTACAGGCTTGAGAGTCTTCCTTTTTAATGTTTACCTCAGTTGCTTTTCCATTAACTCTAAGTTGCAGAGCACCTTTGCCCAAGGGCACTTTTGTAGAGGTAAACAAAGTTGGTTGGAGGGCACACAGAGAGAAGTGATATCAGAGAGGGTCACATGTTTGGTGCTCCAGCTGCTATAGCATTCAGGAGACAGATTCCCAGAATGGGTCAATTTTATCAGTGTTTAAGAGAATAAAGAAATGTTAGAAGACTCCCAGAACCTGGCCCCAAATCTATTTTCAATCTGCTTTGTTCATGGCAAAGGGCACTCAAAAAACAGGCAAGACAAGCGGTGAAGCAATCAGCTATAAATAGTAGAGCCTCTGTTTGAAGACAGTGTGTTCTGTCAAGGACTGCGAATATTTGGGTTCTTGCAAAGAACTGTGTCTAATTTTACTCAAATTTGCAAGTGTAGATGAGAAAATCAAAGAAAAAAGTACCCAAGAGAACACAGCACATCATACCGGTGTTTGATGTTCTGTTTCATTTTGTTTTTTGTTCTAGTCACAGGACGGAAAATTTCCACTTTGCCTAGATTGTCTGCTGTTGCAGGGCTGCTCCACAAACTCCATTCACCTTACGGAGCATCTGCCACATGCCAGAAATGAGGTGTGAGCATCAGAAACACAAAAGAAACATTCCCATCCATAGCCCTGCAGAGGAGAAAGGCAAGAGAACTGAGAATTCTAACTTACAATCCCACGTGCTGAGTGCTACAAAAAGGGTGATACGGAAAGAAAGGTGAGGACTTAGGGTAACTGACTCATCCTGGTTTGTCTGGCAGATTTTTGGTTTTAACACTGAAAGTCTTGTGTCCTGGGAACCCCCTTAGTCCCAAGCAAAACCAGACAGTTGGTTGTCTTAGTGAGGTACTCAGTGGGAACTGCTGGAGGGAGTAATGGGATTGGGGAGGGAATAGGATGTTAGAAAATGTCCCAGAAAAGAAGAAATGTTTAAGCTGCCTCTGAAAGGCCAAGGTAGGAAAAGATAGGTGTGCTAGGCAGAATAATGGCTCCTGAAAATAAGCAGAGCCTAATCATTCGAGCCTGTGAATGTTATCTTATATGGCAAAAGGGATTTTGCAAATGTGATTAAATTAAGATCTTGAGACAGAGTGTTCTAGATTATCTGGGTGGGCTTCTCTGTAACCATAAATGTTCTTATAAAAAGGACATAGAAATCTGCTAACAGAGGAGCAGACAGTGGAAGAGGTGACAATGGAAGCAGGAGGTCAGAGTAATGTACAGGAAGGGGTCACCAGCCCTGGAATGCCCATGGTCACCAGAGCTAGGAAAGGCAAGGAAATAGATTCTCCCCCAGAGCATCCAGAAGGAACTGGTCTTGCAATAACTTGACTTTAGCTGAGTGAAACTGATTTCTGGCTTCTGGCCTGCAGATGGTAAGAAAATAAGTGAGTGCTGTTTTTTTTTTTTTTTTTTTTTTTTTGAGACGGAGTCTCGCTCTGTCGCCCAAGCTGGAGTGCAGTGGCGCGATCCTGGCTCACTGCAAGCTCCGCCTCCTGGGTTCACGCCATTCTCCTGCCTCAGCCTCCCGAGTAGCTGGAACTACAGGCGCCCGCCACTGCACCCGGCTAGTTTTTTGTATTTTTAGTAGAGACGGGGTTTCACCATGGTCTCGATCTCCTGACCTTGTGATCCGCCCGCCTCGGCCTCCCAAAGTGCTGGGATTACAGGCGTGAGCCACCGCGCCCGGCCGTGAGTGCTGTTTTAAGCCACTAAGCTTGCAGTGATTTGTGTCAGCAGCGACATGAGATGAATACAGGAGGGAATGCAGGGAAGGGCAATCTAGGCAGGAGGCTAGCATGACAAAACCTGTAAGAGGGCAAGGGATGTTCAGGATACCACAGGCAGTCAGTGTGTCTGCAGTGAAGCATGCATGGAAACACAGTAGGAGAGGAAGCTCCGGAGAGAGGCAGGGGCTGGGCTGTGAAAGAGTTTTTCCTCCATATTGAACACAATGAAGACACACCCTATGCTTTAAAGCAGAGTCATAATGTGATCATATTTCATTTCGGAAAAGTCTTTTTGGTAACAGGATGGGAAAATAGATAATTGTGAGGAGGAAGAAGATTCAAAGAAGCAGAAACATCTACTTAGAATGATTATATTGTCCAGGCAAGAAAAGATAGGACCCTTGATGGCCAATGGGGACGAAGAACAGGGGCAGTTTCTAGAGATTCTCAGGAGGTGGGTTATGCAGGACTTGGTGTCCACCAAGTGAGGCAAAGAAAAGGTTGAAATTTTCATTTGAGTGCTTTGGAGGATGGGGCTGTCAATGCAGAGATGGGAATACAGGAGGAGCAGCATGTGTACAGGCTGTGGTTGGGAACGAGGGGTTAGCTTTTAGGATATAGAGGAATGAAATGCTTTCAAATGAGTGCATCTTTGTTCCGTTAAAAAATTGAATGTCACTTACAATCATCGGACACCTCTCAAGATGTGAAAGATTAAAATTACATTTTAAAAGCCTAAGTTACAGGCCAAACGTGATGGCTCACACCTGTAATCCCAGCACTTTGGAAAGCCGCTATGGGAGGACTGCTTGAGCCTAGGGAGTGTGAGCAAGACGCCATCTAAGTTATGGTATTACATCACAAAAATACTACTATTTCTGTACTTAAAAATGCCATGGAGTACTAAAAACAGGTATATTAGTCCCCATTATTTAATTTTTGACTTTTGGAAATACACTTCTATTTCAAGGTTCTACTTCATCTTCCCTTTTCCTCCACTGGAACCAAAATATCCTGTATTATAGATTTTTTTAATTTATCTTATTTCTTCATTTAGGGAGATAAGCTTCTGAAAACCAAGACCGCGTTACATTCAACTTTGTGTCCTCACAACCTAGTACAGGATCTGCACATAGTTGCGCTTAATAAATATTTGTTGAATCAACCATTTACTATTGTTCTTCCTCATAGTAGAGCTGACTTTACATTTCCCAATGCCTTATCATGTCTTTCTCATCACATCTGGTTGCTGAAGTCACTTGGATATAAGGCATAAGGCACACCTTTGGTCATGATGAGAATAAAAATCTAGTTTGGTGACATACCAAGGCTCCTTTATGAATTTTCCACTGTTGTCAGGTTCTTTTCAAAGTGATAAAAATTTCCACACGTTAAAGAAAAATTTGACCAGGAATTTTTCTTTCATCTCTTTAGGACTCTTCCCATGAAGAGAAAAACTACAGCAGTAGATAAGATAATGCATAGCCTTCCTTAAAGATGATAAGTACAAGGTGGAGTGGTTCGGTAAGTAGTTGTTTCATACAAGTGTCAATAAAGAATGTGCCGGCCGGGCGCGGTGGCTCAAGCCTGTAATCCCAGCACTTTGGGAGGCCGAGACGGGCCATCCTGGCTAACATGGTGAAACCCCGTCTCTACTAAAAATACAAAAAACTAGCCGGGCGAGGTGGCGGGCGCCTGTAGTCCCAGCTACTCGGGAGGCTGAGGCAGGAGAATGGCGTAAACCCAGGAGGCGGAGCTTGCAGTGAGCTGAGATCCGGCCACTGCACTCCAGCCTGGGCGACAGAGCGAGACTCCATCTCAAAAAAAAAAAAAAAAAAAAGAATGTGCCTTTTTGCTTGGGGCTGTTAGAGGTAGAATTGTTGGTTGAAGTATTGCAGAATGTGCCCTTATTTGGAAATAGGGTCTTGTCTGTTTTTTGTGTTGTAAGACGGAGTTTTGCTCTTGTTGCCCAGGCTGGATTGCAATGGCACGATTTCGGCTCAGGGCAACCTCCGCCTCCCAGGTCCAAGTGATTCTCCTGCCTCAGCCTCCCAAGTAGCTGGGATTACAGGCATGCGCCACCATGCCTGGCTAATTTTGTGTTTTTAGTAGAGACGGGGTTTCTTTATGCTGGTCAGGCTGGTCTTAAATTCCTGATCTCAGGTGATCCGCCCACCTCAGCCTCCCAAAGTGCTGAGATTACAGGCGTGAGCCACCGCGCCCGACATGGAAAAACGGTTTTTACCCAGAGGTAATCAATGTAAAATGAGGTCACTAGGAATGACCATAATCTAATATGATTAGTGTCTTTGTAAAAAGGAGAAATTTGGACACAGAGCCTGATGCACAGAGGGAAGATGGTCTGTGAACTTGGAGGATGGGAATGATGCACCTCTAAGTCAACGGGCACCAAACATTGCCAGAGAACCACTGGAGTCTAGGAAAAGCCAGGGAAAGATGCTTCCTCTGCAGGTTTCTGAGGAAGTGTGGCCCTGCCGACCCTCGCGTTTGGACTTCTAGCCTCCAGAATTGAGAGACAGATGTTTCTATTTTTCAGTTGTCATCCAATTTGTGGCACTTTTGGTGACAGCTCTAGCACACTCATTTGGGGGATCATAGACTGTGTACCAGCACCTCATCCTACCACATTTTTTTTGACTTGAAATATTTTAGAATAAAAGCATATGTTGACAGTTCCAAATTCAAAGAAAGTTAGCAAAATTTAAATATTTCTGTTTAGGACAGGAAAAGAATCAGTTAGGCTGTTAAACGAATAAAGATTGAAAAATCGTGAAAATTTTTGCTAAACAGAACTGGCAATCATGCCAGTAGAGCCTATCGCTGATCTATTCATACCTGAGGGGAAATTTTCTGGATATGACTGGCAGCCATGAGATGCCATCGCAGAATAGAGATGGGATTTTATTTTTTATGTAAGGTGCAGAGACAGACAATAATCACTTAAACTAAGATTACTTACGGTCATTTGTGTAAAAAGTACTATATTTCCATTTCACTATACACTTCACATTGCATTAGTTATCTAATATGTCTTTCCTGCAATTTTGAAGGTGTCAAGATGTTAAGGACCATGTGTAACTAGTTCCTGGCTGTATCCTTGTGCTAGTGGGTGTCCCAGGCATCCATGGTTGTGAGAGGAAGGAACAGAAGCAAAGAGAATGGGAGAGAGCAGAAGAGAAGAATCAAATTTGGTTTTATTCTTCATTTAAAATCTTCACATTTTTCCATCACAATATATGACAGTATTTCAATCTAATTCTTTTTAAAAATAATATTGTGCCATATTTAAAAGTTCGTCTTTATTTTTTCTGAAGTAAAGATATTTTTATTTTCTTAGAATGGGATTAAGAGCCTATGATGTGACTGTTCCATTAGAATATTAGTTATTTATAATATTATGGTTTCTATTTTATTTTTTGAGCATTATGTTTCAACCTCTATTCTCTCTCGGCCAATTATCTTGTAAATATCCCCACAAGGGAGATGTTATTGATAAATAATTGTGAGAAAAAGTAATTGTAAGCAAATCCCTGTAGGTCTATAGTCACTTTGTCATATTAAAGGAAAAGGGCACAGGGATATATTTCAATTTGAGAATCAGGATACCTGTTTGCATTCTGCCACCAACATGCTTTGACACTGAATGAAGCTCTTAAGCACAGTTTTATTCTTTGGAATAAAAGCTTCTCAACCAACATTTTGCATTGATTACTTGATAACCATCTTTAAATGTTATGAACATCTGGGAATAAAAAATTCTCTCTGATTGCAAAGTGCTATATTGCTTGTGTTTATGTATAAAACTCATTCAGGAGATTGTTTCTTCTTATCATTAAGAAAATAAAGCCAACATCAGCATTCTCCAAAAGGACCAGGCACAGTGGCTGGTCCTTCCCAGCACTTTGGAAGAATGAGGCAGGCAGCTCACTTGAGCCCAGGAGTTCAAGACCAGCCTGGGAAACATGGCAAACCCTGTCTCTACAAAAAAATACAAGAATTAGCTGCTGTGGTGGCATGCACCTGTAGTCCCAGCTGCTTGGGAGGCTGAAGCTGGAGAATCACCTGAGCCCAGGAGGTCAAGGCTGCCGTGAGCCAAAATGTAGACCTTTAAAATGATGACTTTCTCCTTTGAATCAGTCTTCAGGGAAGGCTACACATTCATTTAAATTAGGTTAATAGTGTTTAAAACATGGCTGAAACGTCTCTTTTCAACTGCAGTCAAAGCTGTTTCTCATTCTTTGAATATCCTCTTTGATGGCAAGTTTTTATACTCCTAATATTTAAATTAAATTTTTAATTTGATATTAAAAATGGCTAAAATGCCAGGCATGGTGGCTTATGCCTGTAATCCCAGCACTTTGGGAGGCCAAGGCCAGAGGATCACTTGAGGCCAGAAATTCAAGGCCAGCCTGGCCAACATGGTGAAATCCCGTCTCTACTAAAAATACAAAAATTAGCTAAGTACGGTGGTACATGCTTGCAGTCTCAGCTACTTGGGAGGCTGAGTCATGAGAATCGCTTGAACTTAGGAGGCAGAGGTTGCAGTGAGCTGAGATGGCACCTCTGCACTCCAGTCTGGGCAACAACATGAGACTGTCTCCGGAAAAAAAAAAAATGCTAAAAGTCTTTGTAACCAAATATACCTAATGAGGTGTCACTATAAAATGACACTTTCTGATATGCTCATATAATAGCTCTGAATGTTACTTCCAAAAGTTGTTTCAGAAGAATTAGGCAGGGTCAGCATATTGGTATTAAAGGTAAAATCACCCATGATTATCCTCGGGAAATAAAATATTTACTTGCACTTCTATATTATGATGTATTAGTAAAATAAAATCTTACTACTATACGGTTATACCTCTTGTTCGTGACAGATGATGTGAAACTCAAAAACGAAATGAGAAAGATGTGCTCTAGTGAAAAGTCTAAGGGTGATTTTCATCTCCAGGCCTGCAATATACAACAAATAAATTCTTTCTTTTCCTATGAACAGAAGAGGTGGTTTGGGATAAACATAATGAGAGTCTTAGAAAAGCAGGCATATGTGTGTGCGTGTTTCCTCCTTTGAGGTTGAGGTGAGCTCACAAGAGAAAACATGCCTCATGCCATTGATACTATAGTCTCTAGCCCTAGGGTTTCCCTGGGATTTCCATAGACTTCAAAATGCTCAAGGCATCTAGGGGATTGATTGTTTTGCCTACTGTTGGTCAGCAGTCTGCTCTCATAGACTGGGAAACGGACTGAGTGTCCCTTTCCATGCCTGGCCAGCCACAGCACCACTTGCATTCCTGCCCTGCGGGAAAGCGTATGTGAGTACCTCATAGCCTACAGGCCTAGTGCAATGTAGCAGCTGCATCTGATCATGTAACCTCATTGAAGCTGTTGTGTGTGGTCTAGTCTGTTTGGTGTTCTGTCCAAGGGGCACAGTTCTTAACCAAACATATTTGAAAAGTTAATCAATTTGTTCACTGTGTAATTTGAAATGCATTAAAGTAAATACTTATGGACCTTCTGGAATATTTCTGGGATCGCTGTTCTTTCACACCTTATACTCTTTGACACATAATTATAGCTTCTCATTTGCCAACTGCAATTCCCCCTCTCCTGCTAGGCCCTTCCATTCCTCTTGCCTCTCGGGTTCTGCAGTATTCTGTTTGCTCTCCAATTCTGCATCCCAAAAGATTAGAAAAGGGTTTTGCAGAGATAAGCTGACTTTAGGGAAAGCGAATAGAAATTGGTCTGATAAACTGGAAGTCAATGGACATACCAATAATTGCTATTGTGTTTAGTTTGTAATTTTAGTTTACAAATTCTAGTGTCTGTGCTGCATTCTCATTGTGACTCGGTATGTTCTTTCCATTTCCTACAGTGTCCTGGTTACCCCATCCTCCCAGTATTTTTGGCTGTGATTGTTGTTTATATGATATCTTTTTAATTCTCCTGCATCTCTGACCTCTCTCTATTTCACTGCATTGTCGACTTCTTGCCTCATAATTTAGTTTGTCTCCTCAGATTCCAGCCATATGCCCTCTGCCTTGTCTTGCATTGTCTGATTGCAGGGGTAGGGACAAAAGTGAAAAATAAGACAAGGGCAGAGGAGAGGCAGGGACACAATTAAGGAAGATGCCTCAATTTAGGCTGGGGAGAGTCTGCATGCAAGGCAGGCAGGTGCTGATGCAGAGATCAGGAGGCGAGGATGGAAGATTTGCCTCTAAGGAAGATACTCTAGGAGCTCTGCTGCAGTTTCCCAGAGCAATTTTTAAAAAAGGATCCTAAAACTGACTTGAGGAATGGATGCATCATTGGAATAATCACATAGCCTTTCAAGGATGCTACTTTGAAGATGGCAACACCATTGAAAGCTAGATATTTTGCTGTATTTAAATGAAGCATCACTTCTGTGACTTTATAGCCATGTCTCCTACATCTGTGCTATTGTTCTTCATATCTGAAATAGAGGTTGACAGTCATCACTAATGATACAGATGGAGCTTTCTCTTTTTAAATACATAGTGTACCTGAGGCCAGGCATGGTGTTTCACGCCTGTAATCCCAGCACTTTGGGAGGCCGAGGCAGGTGGATCACTTGAGGCCAGGAGTTCGAGACCAGCCTGGCCAACATGGCGAAACCCTGTCCCTACTAAAAATATAAAAATTAGCAGGGTGTGGTGGCACGCCCATCTAGTCCCAGCTACTCAGGAGGCTGAGGAAGGAGAATTGCTTGAACCCAGGAGGCAGAGGCTGCAGTGAGCCAAGATTGTACCAGTGCACTCCAGCCTGTGGGGTGACAGAGCAAGATCTATCTCAAAAACAAAACAAAACAAACAACAGCAACAACACAAAACAATAGCAAAAATACAGTATACCTGAAAGATTAGATAAGGAGCCAAGGCACTAACACATTTCCAAAATATATTATTTTCTCTAGTAACTGTCTAGGGAACTTAAATTCTCTAGACTTTACTTTTTCATGCAGGCTATTGGGGTCCTAGTTTCATGCCCTAGTGAAAAAATTTGGGGGTCCTTCAGCAAGAGTCAAGAGGCTAAAATAGGCAACAAAAGAGCTTTCATATGAACAGTTCTCAGGAGCCTGAAAAAGCAAACCCTCATCTCTTCAGCCCTACCTCTCACTGTTTCTCAGAAACAACATCTCATTTTTTGGTTTTTACTTTCATATCTGAAGCAAATATTTTTTGACCTCCTTTTACCCACTCAAATCTCTCCATACTTTAAGGTCCAGATCAAGTCTAAAACTCTCCCAAGACTCACGTTGACTGCCCTAGTTCACATTAATAGGTTCTCTGAACTCCTATGGCAGATTTCGATTTTTTCATCAATTCTACTCATCCTAGAGTTGTGTCATGGGTGTCAGTTTTGTCTTGATAATCAACCATATGACAGCACTGTCTGAGGAATGGGATTATTGTGCACCTTTTGTATTCTCTGCCCATTTAAACCTACTCAACACATTATATAATGAGTCTTCAGTCAATACTAGCCAACTGTAGTTAATCAACAAATAAATATCCCCTAGAGCCCAAGATAAAAGAAAGTTCTTTGGTAATAAGGAGTTCATAAGGGTCAAAATCTTGGGAGAGTTGTTCAAGATCTGAGCTAGGAAAAGCGAAATATTTTGTGGAATTAACGTAAGGCATACCTCATACAGGAAACATAAACCACAGTTATTTTTTAGAAAGATTTCTTCCGCATAAGTTCCATGTTGAGAAATTGTTGCACCTAATTATTGGTTAACCTGCTTTTCAACAAGAAAACAAATTTGATACCTGCAGAGAATCAATCAGGAAAGATTTTACCTCATGAGATTTGGGACTTTCAGCAAGCTCATTTTGTGAAGTTCATTTCCCTCATGAGGAAAACAAAGAGAATCCCTTGGTTCAACAACTTGGTCTCTTGACACTGCATGCACAAAGTGTAAATGTGGGAAGACATAGTAAATCAGGCAGAATTGGAGGGTGAAAAGACCAGGAGAAATTCTGCAAATTTCTAATTTGACCCAATTTTTCTTACACAGTGATAACTGCTGCCAGATTTAAGATTCAACTAAACCTCAAGCTGTGAAGACATTATGTTTACTCATAAAAATGATCCGATGGAATATTTATTAGCTTAATGGGTATTGTGTGAAGTTAAACACAAAACAGACAAAGATCTAGAATGCAACAGTCATCAATACAGGGCCAGGAGACAACAAAAATAAGGTTGAATTAACACCAAAATTAAGACTGTAT